GAAATCATCTCAAGATAACCTCAAGATGATACGTAGGCTGGGCAGTTAGTTACCTAGGCTGGGCATAGTTATAACTATGATACATAGTCATCCAATCAAGTTGTGATGATTCTTGAGATTTTACATCCAAACTGTCTTGTCACGTGTCACCTGTTCGTGGCATGTCACGTGTCACCTGCTCGTGTCATGTCACGTGTCACCTGCTCGTGTCATGTCACGTGTCACCTGCTCATGTCTTGTCACGTGTCACCTGCTCGTGTCATGTCACGTGTCACCTGCTCGTGTCATGTCACGTGTCACCTACTCGTGTCATGTCACGTGTCACCTACTCGTGTCATGTCACGTGGCACCTGCTCGCTATGGCTGAGTGACGGAGGCGCTCAGCCGGACGACCCCATTGCGTTTCGCGAGCGGTGCATGTGTCCTGGGTTCGTATCCTGGCCGGGGAGGATTTACTGGGCGCAAATCCTTAACTGTAGCCTCTGTTTCCAAATCTGAAGTAAACTATCCGTGAATATACACCGACAAGCATGGTACACTTCTTGGTGTACATGTACACTGTACTCCAGGTCTTTTTAAAGCAGTGTAGTGCTGCTAGATTGTGAAGAATCTTGATAAAAATCAGCCTAAGGAATGTTTCTAAACTCAAGTGTTACCTTCAGATAACTTAAAATTTTATATTTTATTTAACTGCACGTTTACCTTGCAAATAAGAAAAGACTTCATTTTGTAATAGACTCCCGTAACAAAGTTTGTTTGAAAGAAAACACAAACCATTTTATTTATAGAAAACTAAAGTTAATGAGTAACTATTTTAATAATTAGTTGTGTTTCAAGATTGTTTACTGTAGGTATTGCTGGCATATGACTTTAAACTCTCTATTGCAGTTCAACGGATGGGTGTGGGGGACATGACTAATAATCATGTCATGATTAATAATCATATTTTGAAACACAAAATATAAATGCAACACTGCGACACTACAAGCCAGACACGAAAGGACTGATATTATCAAAACATTTAAAATACAGAACAATTTGACGGATATTGACTTAGACAGCTTCTTTCAAAGATCAAATGAAACACATATAAGTGTAGGGGTGGGGGGGATTTAGTTTTATGCTCAACAAGCCACAATGTAGGGCAGAAAACAGGGGAGATACATTTTCTCCCATAAGATTAAAAACTAATAGAACCAATAAGACAATAAACCAATAAGACACTCGCCTGGCGTTCCGCGAGCGCTATGTCATGGGTTCGTATCCTGGCCGGGGAGGATTTACTGGGCGCAATTCCTTAACTGTAGCCTCTGTTTAACGCAACAGTAAAATGTGTACTTGGATGAAAAAACGATTCTTCGCGGCGGGGATCGTATTCCAGGGACCATAGGATTAAGGACCTGCCCGAAACGCTACGCGTACTAGTGGCTGTACAAGAATGTAACAACTCTTGTATATATCTCAAAAAAAAAAAAAAAAAAAAAAACGCCTACCCACCGAAACTGTAAATACGAGGACATTGCTGCAGTTCAAAATCCACCTGATAAAATAATCAGGTAAAATGATTAGACCTTTGACAAAGCCCCCGCTTTCCTGTTCATGTTGAGGGCCCTACCGCCCGTAGGATGGGAATGGGGGAGCATAATATGAACAAAATAAACAAATGTATATATATATATATATATATATATATATATATATATATATATATATATATATATATATATATATATATATATATATATATATATATATACATATGACAGTGCTAATTTGCTTCCAAATCAGAATTTACTATTTAAATTTAATTAGTGACCAACCTGGCAATATGATTTAGTCCAAAACATAGAACAACACTAAATTAAACACAGTAAATATACAAAAAGAAGTTTGATTCTCCTCTCGGTGTTGTCCACCTGTTCTAGAAATTATATAAAGTGTACAAAGAAATCCCTTAAAGCGATGTATTAAATCAGTAGATGTATATGTGTGTGAGAAAATCAGTAGAAGCCAAAGGAGGATTCGAACCTATGCCTCAGGAACTCCCAAGCAAACACCCTAGACCACTACACCACAACATGGTCAAAAATCAATGTAACCTGAGATTCAACTAAATTCTCTGTAGGGGTCCTGAGGGTTCCAACTAAAGCCTAATCATGTTTCACGCATTTTCCCCCATGTACTCAGGTCGTTGTTTAGGAGTTCTTATATATAGCAGATATAGTGAGCAGTGACAATTATCCAATTATAAAATAGTATAATAACTTTGTCGGCGACGGGAAGCCTGTTAGTCTTTATTTTCATTTATTTTGTAGGGGAGGCTGTTACTCAGCCAGTAACTGACCAGACACAATGGTGCCTAACTCTGACTTAAGTCTATCTTAACATTACTCCGCTTTCTTTGAGAGTCATAGTCTGTTTCTCTGGCTAGGAAAGCTGGATTTTTGCTGTAACCTTTTCAGTATTATTTATTTATTTATATTAGAATGTACACTGGGTTGTGAAAGAACTTTTGTCGGTGAGTGAGTGGTACACACGTGTGTGGACTATTAAGAAGCAAATGAGTTTTCTATGATACTATTACATTGCTAGAGGTACATAAATGGCCGTAAGTGTACATAAATGGCCTATAACTATTTTTGTGATGCATTTACCATCAAATTACTCCCTCTCTAGCCTGGCAATTAGCATATTGTTATTTATATCAACATAGCCAGTTTATAATTAACATTAAGGGGTGCTAAAAAAAAATCAACTAATACACGTCATAGAAATTAAACTGAAAAATTAAGTTTACTTACCTCGATATAATAGATACAGCATTAACACACGATTACCCAATCGCAAGTTTAAAACACTAAAACACTTTTCACACTACTAATGTAACTTTTTGAATAATTACTGAAAATCATAAATACTTATTTAAAATTACAACTACAAACTATAACGGTTTTAGAGATTTATTCAAAACAAAGAAAATAGTTAAAATATATAACGTAAAACCCAAATTTTGAAACAAAATTTATAAAATTATTTTTTTATGATTCATAATTAATAAAAATGAACACTCTGTCACAAGTAAAATTAATTAATTGGAAAAATAAAACAAACGAAGCAAATCTAGGCAAGGGGAAACTTTAATAATATCTAAACAGTAAGCAGTTGAACCGCCTAGATATTATTTTTAACAAAGGCCGTAACACTTTAATATAGACAGTCTCCGTTACTCTCAAGCCAAACTGGCCGCTCCAACAAGTATCCAAAATTTTAGTATTAGATTTATGGCAAGGGTGGACCATTTCCCTAAAGTGATCCCTGATTTCATAAAATGTTGGCTTTGACAACGGAAATGGAGACTTTATATATTAGATTGATAAAGATTAAGCCACCCAAGAGGTGGCACGGGCATGAATAGCCCGTATTTATATATTAGAGAGCTGCCGCCTTTATGTATGTGGTGCAACTGCCTACAGTTTAGATATTTGACTGTCTCCCCTTGCCATTTTTTGTTTTGTCTTTTCACGGAATTAATTTTGCGTCTGATTATTTTATTCATTTTTTCTTGTCTATTATTTAATATTAAAATTTAATTCTATATTCATTTTTTATAACTGTATTTTTAAATATTTAATTAAAGTTTATGTAGTATATATATATAATTCTGCCTTTTTTATAAATATCTGCAATCGTTGTAGTTTGTAGATTTAACGTTAAATAAGAATTTGTGGTGTCTGGAATTATTAATCCATTCCTAGCAGGGTAAATCAAGCATGTAAGTAGAGCTCGTTTTTAATTTTTTTTTGTGTGTGTATTTGTCTAGTATAATATCAGTGCTCCACATTTTATATTGATGAAAGTCATTTCTTGTAGAAGGAAGATGTAGGTAAAGAGGTGAAGGTAACTTGTGGAAAAATGGCGTTGATGGAGACAGGAGTCTGTTGACTAGGTGCGGGTGGAGTAGTAATGATAAGACCGGTATAGTGGATGTGGACGAGGGAGTCATCCAAGTTAAAAGTGAAGGGAGACAGAACACCAGGAGTAGGCAGCGAGACAGGAGCACGTTTAGGTTATGGGAGTTCCCATCAGACACCGGCAGGTCCCCAATAAGAAAAGTCATTGTTTCAATATTACCATAATAAAAAGACTACGGGCTCACTATAGCCCGTGCAGCTTAGAACGTTTTTTTCCAAGTAGCGAATCTTCAACAACAACATAATAAAAATTCGTAATATATACGAAAAGTCAGATATTTAATACATATTACGTAATCAAATCTATGTACATTTTCCATAGTTTATAAACATAAATTGTATATCAATTTAAGGCTTAGGAATGCACCTTGACAAGACCTTAGAAACATGTATTATAAAATAATATTAATTGTATTTAATGTGGGTTACAATTCATATTACTTTCTTTTATGTTATTATCAGCAATATAGGACACCTACGGATATCTGCAAAGAAAAATATATTGCACTGAAATATATCACTTATATGTATATATATCTGACCAGAATATCGGGTTTAAGGATCAAAAGGCTGAACTATACTATGAAATTTATAGATATTTACAATATGGCACGTGCAACAATAAATAATAATATAATACAGTAAAATATAATGTGGTATAATATATTTTTATATATCATAATAGTGTAGAAATATATTGTAAGCAACTCTATATACACTGCTTAAACAAAAATAGATTATTACATTTAAATAAAAAATAATACATATACACAAACTAACAAACACCATTTGAGATCTTTGTTAGATTACAAATATAGTTGTAAAAATAATTTTAACAAATATACCTTAATTTGCAGGCGATGAGTCACAATAACGTGGCTGAAGTATGTTGACCAGACCACACACTAGAAAGTAAAGGGACGACGACGTTTCGGTCCGTCCTGGACCATTCTAATCGACTTGAGAATGGTCCAGAACGAACCGGAACGTCATCGTCCCTTCACTTTCTAGTGTGTGTGGTCTGGTCACCATACCTTAATTTTATAGGCGTATACACATTACACAACAATTCAACCCCAACACTTCTTTAAACCTTTTTGTTGATTATTATTGTCACCATCTTAAAGATTCAATTTGGACATACTGACCCGTTATTTTGCATATGGTTAAAGTTTTCTATATTCGAACTTAGCGTTAAAAACGTTCTTGGATTCTTTACCACTTTCTTAAACTTAACATCAAAAAGTCGTGTGTGGTTAGAAAGTCTTTCTCAGCCACACTTACAGTTCGTTGAGCTGGGGATAGCGGTGAGGCCTCATTGTGTGTCTTTGTTGTGAGTGCCTCCTTGTGTTGAGTGTCTCAACGTTGTGTGAAATGACCATGACAAAGTAGTGTATAACGGGCCGAGGGATGGACTCGGTAGGCGAGTCCAAACACCCGATGAAGTAATTATGACAAGTGGCCACTGAACTCGGACCTTTACATAGCCCCGTTTGTGTAACACAATATTCATAAATGCCTAGATATCCTTCAGTATGCCAATATGAGAGCAACAGACGCATGGCAGACGACGTTGAAGGAACCACATTAACAAGAGAAGGTGATTGACTGTTAGTGGGACGATGCAGTTATGACAGTAAGGTGCAGCAGATCTCTGTTGCATTAAGTGCCATTGACTTGGTTTTGGTGTTGAGCTTAAGGCTATCAACTTCTGGATGGTTAAGACCATCACAAAAGCTTACTGACCAACTTAGCAAGTATACTTTAGTCTGAACATAGTTCAGGACTAAAATAAACTCCCTTTGTATATACAACGAAAAACGGGGTCCATCTCTCGGTGTAAATACATATATGCCGATGAGTTTAAGGTTTATGCATATATATAATACATACATGCCTTGGTGATGAGCTAAATGAGTGAGGCTGGTACGTAACCGAGCTGGAGACATTTCCCACATTCTGTTTCGGTGACAGGATTAAGGTCATGGGTTGTTTCTCTCATTTGACAGTACGTAACCTGATATTCGCAACAGATAACTACACGAGAGTTGACCTGAATCTATACCTTGTGTAGTTCTTCGACCATCTCTTGTCAATGGGTGTGTATCGTCAGCCTGGGAACGCCGTTACCGTGCCAGCTATATTGTTTCTCAGTCAATCAATTAATTGACCTGGAAAGAGTTGTGGTATTCGCACTGCCTCAGCTCCATGGATGACTCTGGGCTTAAGTAGTCTTATATGAATAGCCCTCACCTGTACCTTTGATTTTTAAGAGGTTTCTGATTGGTTATAGTTTAATGCCACATAACTTATATTCATATCTTAAAAGTATGATATTAGCTCTGATTTTTAACAGAGGTTGATGTCCATTCTGAACTATATTCGAATGCCTTTGGTTCGTAGTATTTACAATACAGTATATTTAAAGCTTTATGTGTCGCGAACATATTCAGTCATCATTTAGCCTTGTAAAAGAACTAAGGCCCAATATGTATTATATTGGTAGGTACACACTTGATATATTTCACAGATAAGTTAATTTGTAAAAGCTGTCAACTCCTAAAACTCTAGACAGTGTAGAGATATTCTCTACACTGTCTAGAGTTATGTCTAGAGAACTCTAGACAGGTTCTAGATATTCATTTAGAATGAAAATTTTACGAAGTATTGAGAACATCTGACAGCTTCATGAATGGCCCATGAAGGTGGCAGGCTAACTAAACCCTTCGGCAAAAATTAATAGACATGCGTTTTCCTCATGTCTTATTAATCACCGTTTTTTTCCTAGATTTGCTGTCACTTGAAGGCGAAACAGGTGCATTTGAACACCCTTAAATATTACGCTCTATTGCCACTTAGGATTTTCCATGCTAAAAAACTATACTTTTTTTCTTAAAGCTGCGAATGTTCTGTAATCGTTGCACACTATATAATTCTACATTATATGCAGAGTAGCCATGAAATTTTCTATAATTTTGAAATTTCTTGACAAAACTTTTCCCCCAGAGACGAACGTTTCTGTTCGTATCCAAATGCTTCATCTTCTTGTCCTGAGGAGAGCAGGACGAGTCTAACTGTAGACCACATCAGAGTACTCGTCTTGCACGATGCCCAGGAGCCTCTGTAGCGAGGCTCGGACAGGCACGGGGGGCATGGCACAGGCCGGGTAGTGGTCGCTGCAGGTGGTGTCCCCGGTCCCTTGCTGGGCGGCCTGCAGGTACGTGTTGAAGTCCCCATCACCCTCCGGGTTCGACGCCAAGCTAGATCTGTAAGACATATAAGAGCATAAGAACAAAGGCAACTGTAGAAGGCCTATTGGCCCATACGAGGCAGCTCCTATCTATAACCGCCCAATCCCAGGTGGTTATATAAATATGTCTATTTATTTCCATTGATGGCTCATTTTTATAAGTAACATAATTCATTGTATCGGGAGACAGGTAGCCAGTGTACATATAAATGTTAGACTCGTATCGAAGTCCACCAAATGGTCGAACTACTAACCCTTCCCAGGTTGCAACTCCGCAACAAGCTGACTAACTCCCAGGTACCTATTTACTGCACTGCTAAGTGAACAGGGGCGTTTATTTTACTATTATTTTTCTACCACAGACGTGGCCACACATTTACAATGCTAATTAGCATATATACATTTTCTCCTATCCTCCATGGACAGGGTGAGAGATTTGTTAAACATATAGTTCAGGGATTTATTGAACAATCAACCACAGAAGGTGATTGTAGTGGTTTTAAAATGCTAGGCTAAGCTACATACGTAAATACATAGATACACAGATTTACGTATGCCCTACACAGGGCGTTGAATGGTAGGAAACCCGCCCAGCCATTTCTGTCTCGCCTGGGATTCGAATCCGGAATTCCCGATTGTGAGACGAGAACGAGCCCGATTGTAAGGTATCTTAAGGGTTTTCTCGTAGACTCCGAGATATGTAAGGTCAATAGATTTTTAAAACTAACGTTACGTTATTTGAAAAATGCAAATACAATCATCTACCGATTCTGTATATTGTATATGGTTGTATTTAATGCATTTGTTTTCTCTTAAAGGCATTTTATCAAAATATATTTGTATTGCATAAAGTAGAACAAATGTTCATGCGAGGAACACACACATGCTCAGAGCGAGGAGAACACACACACACACACACATGCTCAGAGTGAGGAGAAGAACACATACACACACACATACACACATGCTCAGAGCGAGGAGAACACACACACACATACACATGCTCAGAGTGAGGAGAAGAACACACACACACACACATGCTCAGAGCAAGGAGAAGAACACACACACACACACATGCTCAGAGTGAGGAGAAGAACATATATATGCTCAGAGAGAGAGGAGGAGAACACACACACACATGCTCATAGTGAGGAGAGGAACACACACACACACACATGCTCATAGTAAGGAAAGGAACACACACACACACACATGCTCATAACGAGGAAAGGAACACACACACACACATGCTCATAGTGAGGAGAAGAACACACACACACACACATGCTCAGAGTGAGGAAAGGAACACACACACACACACATGCTCATAGTGAGGAGAAGAACACACACACACACACATGCTCAGAGTGAGGAAAGGAACACACACACACACACACATGCTCATAGTGAGGAGAAGAACTCACACACACACATGCTCAGAGAAAGGAGAAGAACACACACTCACACACACATGCTCAGAGTGAGGAGAGGAACACACACACACACACATGCTCATAGTGAGGAGAAGAACACACACTCGCACACACATGCTCAGAGTGAGGAGAAGAACACACACACACACACATGCTCAGTCAACCTACCTGACCAGAGTACCATAAGCCTGTGTGACCTGCCAGAGGTCGGGAAGCTCTTGATGAACCTGACACACCAACCTGCTCTTACAGGCTGGTGACCAGAGGTTCTGGTCCTGCGCGTAGGTCGCCTCCAGGCTCCGGAACACCTCGTACACCTGCACTCAGCACACAGTCACAGTGAATGAAAAACACTAAATATAAAGAAGCGTAATGAAAATTTGAAATAGGAATATTTGATTGTTATGGGAGGTGATTTATTAATGCATCAGACTAGTGACTAGAGGGAATTGCAACTTAGATGTATATACATTTATTGGGAGGGACGAGAGTGAGGCTTAGGTGCTGAAGTTTTTTTTACTGTAATTGTGTCTGCCTGGGTTTGTGTCAGCATCACCGCTGAACTCAGCATTGCTGTAAATGACGTCTGTAAATTTTGTTACGGTGCTTGCGAGGCGAGAACGCTGTTATCGCGCTACAGTGCATATGTCAGTTGTTTTCTGAATTGCATATAATGATTAAATGTACAACAAATTCTGGTAAAGAAGAGCAAAAATAGCACCCGTGCTTAGATTAGCTATATGATATCTTAACACCAAAGTGACTGTCTGACCTTGAAACGAAATAGGGAAACATAACAACTTCAAGAATCATAATAATGGTAAAATATTAAATCATAATAAATAATAATAATAAAATTAAAATATGAATAATAATATTATTATTATTATTATCATTATTATTATTATTATTAATGACACGGCAAATTCCTTACGTACGTCCTCAATGGTCTTCTCCTGGTCAACGAGGATAATATCTGCCGGAGCCGCATCTAAGAGCACTTTGACCATCTTGGCTGTGACTACCGGCGTCGGGTACCACACGTAGTTGAAGTAGAAGACCGCGAGTGCCAGGGCGACCACCAGCAGCCCTCCCGGCAGCACCACCGTCGACGACAGAGGATCAAGACTCGCCAGCCTGTCTACGATCGACGGGTCGAGGAACGCGGGCCGAGGATGCTGTTCCTCCATGTCGTGAGCAGGATAGCGAGAGACCTGAGGTTCAGGGTGTGCATGACTGCTGAAAGCTTGTTCAGGGTGTGCATGACTGCTGAAAGCTTGTTCAGGGTGTGCATGACTGCTGAAAGCTTGTTCAGGGTGTGCATGGCTGCTGAAAGCTTGTTCAGGGTGTGCATGGCTGCTGAAAGCTTGTTCAGGGTGTGCATGACTGCTGAAAGCTTGTTCAGGGTGTGCATGGCTGCTGAAAGCTTGTTCAGGGTGTGCATGACTGCTGAAAGCTTGTTCAAATTCTGGTCTGCTGGCTTGGTTCGTCCTTTGACGTGTCGGCTTTTGTGGACGATTTCGGTAGAGATTTAGATGGGATTTTATTGGGCTGTTCAGCTCATGCAGTGGATGATTTGCATCATTTGAGGGCCATCTTTGATCCGTATAGGGACGTTCTTTGATGATATTTTTGTGTTGTTGGCCCTGATACGAAGGGCTGGGATGACCTGGCCGACGATGGCGTCTCGTGGGACGGTTTTGGTTCGGGCGTCGTTGTTCCCATGTCTCGTCAAACTCGCTGTCTGTGGCATACAATTCGGTGGCTTGTGGCCCACTTTGCGTGAGATCTGTCTGTCCACTTTCTACACGGTCGTCTTGGGTGTAACTATTGTGTTTGTGAGGTTCATATCCAGCTCTGTTTGCTGAAAAAGGCTGGTTATTGCTAGGAATTTGCTCGGTGAACGGTGAATTGCCATTTTGGTAATTATGGTTGGTACTTTGGGAATATTGATTGATAGTGAAGTTCCTATTATCTGCAGTAGGGAGAACATGATCGTTAGGGTAGTTTGGGTTGTTCTGCACAGAGAACTGATTGTTCGAGTAGCTGTGCTCGCGGTGAGGTTCGTTAGGGATGTTATTTTGCCCCGGCGTCTGGGTCTCCTGGTAGGCCGTGTACACGTCGGGAATTATATGATAGAACTTGTGTACAACGTGTTCATCATTACTCGTAGTGTCAGATTTTTCCGCTAGGGTATCTGTCTGTATTTTGTGTTTGTCTTGCTTCCCTCTCAGGGGCCACTCGGGGAGTTTGGGCAAAGCAGGTAACTTAGACAAATGAGAGTCTATGGCAGCAGAGAGACTCTGATGCCATGGTAACGAGACTTCGGGCTTCTCGGTTTGACCGATTTTCTGGGGTGGTTTAGAATATTCAGCGTGGTAACTACTGTAGGAATCCCTCAGCACGTTACTTTCTTCGTTGGAATATCGATGAACTTGGTGTGTGGAAGAGCCCCCCGCAGGCTGTCTGTTATTGTCACTCTCATTCCTGGCGCGGTAGAGCCTCTCCGGGTGGAAGAGAGGAGGAGGGTCAGTTACGCCAGGGTGGCGGCCATATTGAGGCGTGGGAGTAGTCGGGTAGCTTGGCACTTGACTGGTTGTTAGTTGTGTCCGCTGACTGGAGTAGCTCACTAGATCGTTAGGTATTTGAATGGGCATAATCTGCCAGGTAGTTGGGTCATTACCTGGATCGTCTTTCGCCTCGCCATAAAAATATGGATAACTGGGAGCTTCTGTGTGGTGTGGGGTGGTGACCCTCGGCGTGGAGGGTCGAGACGAAGCCCGCCAAAACGCGTAAGGAAACTCGGTCTGCACTACGAGGTGGTCGGAGCCGGGTACTCTGGTGGGGTGGCTTCTCTTGCCTTCCAGAGCTGTCATCACAGACGCCATCAACAGCATCGTCCACGCTAGAGGCCACATTTGCTCTCCCTGCTGCGCCATAACTGCAAGGAAAGGGATATTAAGACCGCTTAATGAGATGCTTCCTGTGAAGAAATATATATATATATATATATATATATATATATATATATATATATTCAAAACAAACATGGATCACTTGCTTCAGTTACGTGTATAGTGATACTGTAAGTCTGCAGATGAGGAGTCACAATAACGTGGCTGAAAAATGATCTTTATTACACCTTACCTTCAGTTCCTGTTGCCTTGCTTGTTCTTCCTCTAAGATTTCCTTCTCCTCACCTCTCTCTCGCCTATTTATTGCCATTGCCTCCTTCCTCTCAAAAAGTTCCTTCCTCCTGCCCCCAAGTTACTGCCCCGCTCCTGTGCCAGGTAAGTCCACTACGGGCTCACCATCTTCTTGAGTTGATTTCGGGGCTTTAGTGTCCCAGCGGCCCGGTCCTCGACCAGGCCTCCACCCCCAGGAAGCAGCACGTGACAGCTAACTAACTCCCAGGTACCTATTTACTGCTAGGTAACAGGGGCATAGGGTGAAAGAAACTCTGCCCATCGTTCTTCGCCGGCGCCCGGGATCGAACCCGGGACCACAGGATCACGTGCCCAGCGGGCTGTCCGCTCAGCCGGCCGGCTCCCTTGCCCGTGCTACTTGGAACTTTTGTTCCCAGTAGCTGAATCTTAAACAACAACAACAACAACTTCCTCTCATCTTACGGGCTATTCATGCCCGTGCTACGTCTTGGGTGGCTTTATCTTTATCTATCTTCCTCTCATCACAATCAACTTGATAATGGTCCAGGACGGGTCGAAACGTCGTCGTCTCTTCACTTTCTAGTGAGTGGTCTGGTCAACATACTCTAAGTCTGCCATGGCATCAGGATCTACCTCATAGGCTCAGTTTCATTCTGCTCATTGGTTTTTAGGTCACGACGCCAGCGTGGCTCTTCTGCCATGTTTCGCACACACACACTGTCACTAGGTTTTTTTCGCTAGGCACGTTTCTCTCCCGAGGCACCGGCAACACCATCACTATTTCCTCCCTCACCATCACTGTCAACACCATCACCATGAGGTGGGTGATGAGTCATTGTAACAGTAGTGAAGGTGGCCTGAGTAGAGACTAATAGGGTGCCGCATGCTAGTCGCATGTTTCTGTAAATGATGATTCTCAAACTATTTAAGTTAACTCGAGAAACGAAATGAGTATATGGACAACAACAAATCATCTGATGTACTCTCTCATGACAACACGACGTATACGGGGTTTAGGTGATCCACCAGCCGTGACGCGGGAGCTGCCGGGTGCTTTGTCGATCCCATGTGCATCTGCTGGAAAATTAAGGCTGTGAGGAGTGTAGGACGGTCGTCCCGTGGAGCCTTCCGGAGCCCTCTTCACTCCCAGCATAGTCACCGCCGCCAGCCGCCACCGGCAACCAGCCCCCGCCAGCCGTCGCCAGCCGCCACCAGTCTTCGCCAGCCGTCGTCAATCACCATCAACTTTCGCCAGCCGCCACCAGTCTTCGCCAGTCGCTGCAAGGCGTCGCCAGTCGCCACCAGTCGTCGCCAGTCGCCACCAGTCGTCGCCAGCCGCCACCAGTCGTCGCCAGCCGCCAGCACTCGTATCTTCCGCCAGCACTACCAACAACAACTGTTTTGTCTCTATTGTCTTTGCGCAACGACCCCCAACACCAAGCACCATTTCAGTTCTCTCTCTCGTGACGACGGTGTTCTGGTAATGACCCAGGAGCTCGTGTAATTTGCGCTCTCTCCGTCTGGGAAGCGGGATGGTCTGTCAACTGGTCTTTCCCGCCACGCTTGTTGAGTGTGGGACACGGGAAGGCGGCGGTACATAGGGAACCGTAATAACACTGAAGCCTAGTGAACTGCAGTTCACTAGGCTGTATATATATATATATATATATGTGTGTGTGTATATCACGAAAATAAACACGTGATTAAGAATGTGACAATGTCAGACCACGGAGGAAAAATGAAACAGGAAATTTCCTTAAGTACTTTCGTATATTAAATACATCTTCAGAAGGTCACCTTCTTCTGAAGATGTATTTAATATACGAAAGTACTTAAGGAAATTTCCTGTTTCATTTTTCCTCCGTGGTCTGACATTGTCATATATATATATATATATATATATATATATATATATATATATATATATATATATATATATATATATATATATATATATATATATATATATATATATATAATGTGTGTGTGTGTGTTAAACAATTTCTGACGATTGTCAATATACGTCAGTATTGTTGATTACTAACTCCAAAGAATGTTCAGGTTACAGTAATAATGGCTGTGAAGTCAGGTTCATCGTGAGATCAAATCGCACGAGAGCTCTTGTGGTGTTCAATCCCCCGTAAGGCCAGGTCTGAATTAAGGTCAGTTAACTCTCACAGTTCACCTGCTAGTGGAGTGAGGTGCTTCATAGTGCCCAGTCCATCCTTACACCACATTACTCGTAGAGTTACATAAATCGTGCGGTAGTTTTCTTTGTGAGGTCTCATTCCTCGTGAGGGCCAACTCCCTCGTAGAGTTAAACCCCCCCTGGTGGGTTCAGGGCCCTCGTGGTGGGGTATCACTGGTGGGTTCAGGACCCTCGTGGTGGGGTATCACTGGTGGGTTCAGGGCCCTCGTGGTGGGGTATCACTGGTGGGTTCAGGACCCTCGTGGTCAGGCATCACTGGTGGGTTCAGGGCCCTCGTGGTCAGGCATCACTGGTGGGTTCAGGGCCCTCGTGGTCAGGCATCACTGGTGGGTTCAGGGCCCTCGTGGTCAGGCATCACTGGTGGGTTCAGGGCCCTCGTGGTCAGGCATCACTGGTGGGTTCAGGGCCCTCGTAGTCAGGCATCACTGGTGGGTCACGTCAACTGTGGGGTCAAATAACTCCAGGAGTCTCTCGTAGTCAGTCCCTTGTGTATATAGAGCTGACTAACACATTGAGTCGACACACCGTGACTCGCTATAAAAACATTATACATTAAAGAACTTCGTGTCAAGAGATATACAAACGTTCTTAAAACATACAGAGGCAAGAAAAGGCATGCTCGGTTGCAAGCTTTTGTGTTTTAGATTTATCTATTCAGAACGAAATGTCCATGTAGCACGGGCTATGGTGAGCCCGTAACCAAAGAGCACACTCACGTGAAAATATACCATGACACAAATGTTCGGTCATGTAGTCCATTGACTGACTACCGCACAGGGTGACGCTGAAGTCAGCCTTGACCCGGGAATGGTCTTCCAGATACTCAAGTTCAAGTATGTTTATTGAGACAAGAAAGAAATACATCACAAAGGGATAGAGTAGCTTAGGCTATTTCTACCCCCTCCCCAGATACTCTTAATTTAAGAGAGAAAGAATCTCTTAGATACTTCTATTAGGAATGATGTCTACAAGACAATACTGGGCGTGATAGAGTCTACCAGACACTTATGATAGTAGCCGCGTCTTTCACATATTTTTGATTTTAGTTTTTTTTTTTTTAACATTGCTGCTACGCGCTGCTGGATTTTAATTTTGTTGGGACTCATTTCTATGTTCAGTTCGGTTTTAAAATTTAACCTATCCTAGTTAATCATTAATTAGAAACAATACAATTTTGCATTTAGAATTTCGGCCTCATAGGAACCAGTTCTCACCTGTTGTACTCACCTGGTTGTATTTGCAGCGGGTTGCGCTACAGCTCTTGTGCCCCGCCTCTCAAACCATAATCTAGCGGTAGAGAGTCCAGAGCCTATGGTTATATCCACATTTAATACCGAGTCCTCCCTCGACCCTGTAGATCTGTGTGGACAGCGCTTCGGAATCGTAGTCCTGAGGTTCCGGGTTCGATCCCCGGTGGAGGAGGAAACAATTGGGCAAAATATCATCCCGATGCCCCAGCTACCTAGCAGCATATAAGTACCTGGGAGGTAGACAGCTGCTACGGGCTGCTTCCCGGGGGTGTGTAACAAAAAGGAGGCCTGGTCAAGGACCGGGCCGCGGGGAAGCTAAGCCCCGAAATCATCTCTCGATAACCTCAAGATAACCTCCTACCCCACTGACCCAGACACAAAGAGCCTAAAAGGACCGGTGGTTGAGCAATCACCGCGGCGTCAGCTGTGGTGTAGCCACAGACACGCGGCGGCACTACCACAAGTCTAACACCTCCCAACACCTGATGGAGTCCGGTGTAAACATTTGACGTCATCAGGTCGATAAACAGGTTGACGTCATCAACATTATTCATATTTCATCCAGTGGCTTAAGCTTAATGGTTGCTACACTACACACAGAAATCACAATAACGTGATGCATCAAATGAACAAATTCACAAGGGCCGTGACGAGGGTTCGAACCTGCGTCCGAGAGGATCCTACGTCCGTTGGTAAATCAGGGTGATTTCCCGGTTGCAATTCTTTTTACCATGTCGGAGCACAGTCGACTAAGGCAGCGTTTGGGATCCTCTCGGACGTAGGTTCGAATCCTCGTCACGGCCCTTGTGGATTTGTTCATTTTAATGGTTGCTTTTCTTTGCAAGACGCCATTGTCCCTTTGCAATATTATTGTCATTTTACATTACGTGCCATTTTATTGTTTTTATATATACAATCAGGTAAGAGGGTTTCGAGCAAGTCTTTAATCTTAACATTCTCCGGCAATATACGAATACGACCCGCCAAATCGTTTAGCAATCAGGTACCAATTTTACTGGTTGGTAAAGTTATGGATTGGCGCCCAGAGAATCATCCCGGCCAGGATACGAACCCAGGACAAAGAGTTCGCCAAACGCCAGGCGAGTGTCTTACCACTACGTCACGGGGACTGGTGGCATTTAATCACCAAAATATATACAAACACAAACCATTGTGCTTTCTTGCATATAAATAAATGAAATAAATAAATTAGACGGCAATTATTAAAAATCTAAATTGTAACGTTAAAATTTCTGATATTACTGAAAGGGAGCCGGTCGGCCGAGCGGACAGCACGC